TCTAATCCAAGATTTTGCTTATCAAAGCCTCAACTTCAGACACAAGTTTATTCCAACTCTCATAGAAGTATTCCTGAGAAATCTTTTCCCGGCCGTTACTCGTAGTGTCACCCGCATAGCAATGAATGTTGCAAATATGCTACAAGTCATGGTACGACTTGTAGCATATTTGCAACATGATATGTAGAAGGAAAAGGGTAGGAGATAGAATGAGGCCTTGTGGATACCAGCGTTGACGAATTTAACATCAGAGCATTCACCGTTCTGGTGAAAGAAATAAAGATAACAGAAATAAATATTTTCGGGGCATGATTTTACACAGTTTTCGAATTTATTCGGCTAAAAAATAATATTCACAATTCCTTTTAATCGAATTGTCTTGCGATATAACTGTGGGGCCACGCAACTACCTTCGTTGTTGCACGAAATGGCAGGTCTCAGGTAAGTACCACCACCTCACAGAAGACCGGCGTGAAGTGAAAGTGTTATACCTCTGCGTTTCACCTGGTGAGTGAGGTAACCGGAGCCCACTTTATTAAAATTGACAACGCATCTGCAACCCTACAATCGTTGCAAATTTCCATTGGCAGCGATTAATACGTAACATCAGATGAACCGCCAGCTCGATTGCCCGCTTCTCACATAAAAAATTAGATCACGGATTAGTTTTGCACTAATGATTATCAGGAACTTACAGATATTGGACTGTGATAATTATAACAACACAACATGTGCAAGAATTAATACAATGATGCAAAAAATTACGCTGCAAAGTGACAGTTATCTGTCTCTATTTTATTAAATAAATTACATAAAGAGTTTATAAATTGTACGTCCATAAAACAGATAAGGCAAATGTTTTATTATTTTTTGATTGATATAAAACTAGGTTTGTTTAAAAGTGAAGTACAGTGAGTTAATGTATAAACTTTTTTTCATATATTTTCTTTAACAAATAATCATACTAAATCAAATAAGCAAAACTTAATCGGAAAAATGTCCTCTATATCAACATTTCCATAAATATTTCGGATTTATTCGGTTAAAAAATAATATTCACAATTTAATCGAAGTGTCATTAAGATAATAATTTTGAAATACATGAGCATTATAATTATAGGCCTTATAAGGATCATCATTATTAGATATAAAAAATCATGATTGAGATCATAAAAATAGAGCAATATATATATTTTTTTAATAATATGCAATAAAAAATACGAATTGCAGGTTTGATTCGAAGTTTAAAAAACTCGTAGCGACGCATGCGTAGCAGTAGCTGTAGAGTCGCCTGTAGCCACAGTCGCTTGAAGACTCCCCAGCTTCCAACGCTACGCGAGTAAGCCCGTTCGGAATACAGAGTTCGGCGAAAGATTAGTTTTGGCGGAAGTCTTTGAACTTTATCAATAATGATTTCCAATTTAAATTTTAACAGGTTCAGGTGAAAGTAAATTGTTTTTGATTTGATTTATTTAAAATAAGAAATCCGTAAGAGATATGTAAAATTTAAAATTTAAAGCTTTTCTTAGTTTAGTGGGTATTTAATAACAAAAAAATTTTTCTTGTAAAATAGTGTTATTTGTTAAAATACTTTAGTGTGCTAAATTAAATGTGTGTCATTGTCGCTAAAGTAACAGCCTACAATGTCGTGAAAGATAAGCGAGTTCTGTACTATAATTAAAAAGACAATAATAATCACACAATAAAAATAAGAAAGAAGGTGAGTATTATAATATTTTCTATAATTAATTTAATCTGTAAGAACATAATTTTCTTAAATTAACTGTTGACGTACGAGATAAAAAATCTTCGTAATAAATGTTTGAAATAAAAGTTTCTTTAAAGCGAGAACCGTTTATAAAGTTCTGGAATATTTTAATCATGAAAATAATATTATTTTCTATATTATAAGAATTCTGTGAAAGTTCCTAAGTTAATAGAAAAAAACAGTGCTACCGAGAAGGAAAATAATTTGTTTTCCACTCGATGGTCTCGCAACTTGCAATTTTGGTAAATTTTATTATACTTTTTCGACGTGAGTTACATTGTTTAGATTATTACTATTCTTTCAAATTTAATAAAACACTGGCAAAAAAAGTGTGTGTATAATTTCAATTGGAATCCTCCTGAATGTGGAAATAAAAACTGCCTTTTACGGTGGGCGAATTATTCTGATGTCTGCATAACAATAACCCTAAGGAATCTTTTACATCAATGAAACAAAATGATAAAGATAAACGCGTTGCGTAGAATTTGTGCTGAGATGATACGAGTAGCTTGGATATGATAACCGGTATTATTTATGTTCATATAGAGAAAAGAGAACGAAGTTAGTACGAAAAGTGTAGTGTGGAAAGTAGTTTGGCTACTTAGGTTTTGTAAAAGTAACTGTATTTGTTGCTTAGCTTAATTGTCGTCGTGATGTTAAAGTAAAGTGTAAATGGAAATAGATAAATAATAATATTGAACTTAACATGTGAACTATTTTATGTTGCTTGCATTGTAAACAAGCAGGAATGGGTTAAAAGTATACGTATGATATAAAGTAATATTATATGGCAGATGTATTTGAAAGAGAACATTGGTAAGGAATTCCTTCCACCTTCTGTAAGTTTGAAGGATCTCTTACTGAACGCACCGGTGTCTCTCGGAGAAGGATAAACCTTCCCCGATTCCCTCGCCATCTTGCAGCAGCTCGAGACCACTTCGTGCAGCAGCCAATCCATGTCCCCTTTTAGTCGCCTTTTAAGACAGGCAGGGATAACATGATTGCATGAAACACGATGAATCTAACCTAACCCCTAACCTCTAACAAAATTTAACAATTTTTGGATTCAGTGCCATTGTTCACCATGGGTAACCTTACAACGAACTTGCGAGTTTAACTATTTGATTAAATAATGGTCTTTATTTTCCAAGAAGACTCCTTTCCAGGAGCCTTGTTTATAATTAACGCTGTTTGATTTACAAGTGCTGCAAAGCAATTAACTTTTTAGGGTGTATTTTACGATCCATAGAGTCTACACAAAATGTCATAACTCATATTTGGTACAGTGGACGAATTTAAGAAAATTTTAGTACGAAGATTTTAATATGATCTTGTAGTGAACTTTCATAACTATTTGTAGGCAACGCTATTGCCACTTTTTATTTCTTTTTTCCAACTGGATTTACATGTAGCATATAGCAGTTTGATTTGCACTTCTATCAATTTCATGTCAGGTAATGAATTCATTGATTGATAACTCACAATTGGTGGGTTATGTTGGCTTATCTCAATTATAAACTTTATATTAAGTTTTTATAGTGCTAATTACTGCACTTAAGATGAAACAAACATTTTTAGAAAGTTTTAATTCATATTATATTAAATATATTTAATTAATAAATATATTCGTTAGCGCATAATTAGGTAAGCGAAGTGAGGCCTGGCTTTTCTCTGCCTTGTCGGGTCGTAAGTTCAATAACATAATGAAAACTTTTGAATTTTGAATGCTGGCCAATATTTATTTAATTGGAATTTCGAATAAAATAAAATGTAGGTGCTCTATTTCGTTCAGTTTTAATGAAGTGGGCGCTTAAAGAAGACCGAGTCGCGTAGAATCAATACAGTTCCGCGCCAAATGAATTTTTGTATTGAAAAGTTGAATACAACCAAAAGATTCCATATCGCCCCATCAAACGATGTAATGAAAGTTCAAGAGTAGAAGATAGAAAAAGAATTGGTCACTCTCGCACGACTCCAGCAGTGAAGACGCGTATCCCAAGAAATGTCATGCCGTGAGCAGCAACTGTTGACACTTCTGATGGGATTTATTTTTTGTTTATTTTTATTGAGAAGCAGGCAAGCGAGCTGGCAGTTCACCTGATGTTAAGTATTAACCGCCGCCCATAGATATCTGTAACAGCCTTGCAGAGAGTGGTATTTTTGTGAAAAAGGCATTAAATTGAATGCCTTAAACCTTGATAAACTTTTTTTTTCATAACATGATCAGTAACAGATACTGGGTAAAAGCATATAATATTGGCTAGCGGTGCCCGAAATTGACTTTATCTGACACGAAGATAGGCCCTTCTGCAGTCCGGTCTTAAATCTATTGGATTATATATTTTATCACGTATCAATCAAATGAAAATACTTTGTACTACATTTGTTTGTAATATTAAAATAACCACTTTTTAATTAAGTGCATATCGATGTATACACGACACAGATACAAAAATAACATTTTTTACAATTTGTGTGTCTTACGCCCGGTTTCTGAAACACTAATCATCGTAAATGTCAACTAATCAGCTGTCAAATGGCTTTTCAAATAGCATTTGAGTTGTCAAAAGGAGCGTAAAACTCTTTGAATTGATCATTCTGATCATTAAGAAGATAATTCTCGTCAATTCAGAGAGTTTAACCTCCTTTTGGCAACCAAAATGAAATTTCAAAAGTCATTTGACAGCTGATTAGTTGACATCTACGATGATCAGTGTTTCAGAAACCGGGCGTTAGTCTGTTTGTTCCGGCCAATCTCTGAAACGGCTGGACCGAGATTGACGGGACTTTCACTGGCAGATAACTGATATAATGAGAAGTAAATGTATGAAAAAGGTTGTATTTTTCAATTACAGAGAATCGTTTTGCTTTAACTCTTAATGTTTTATATGTTTTCAGAAATAAAATATTTTTAAGAACATGAATTCCATTACGACGTCGTAAAAAATTCTTTGAGAATAGAAAAAAATATATATAAAGTAACTTCAATTACAAAAATGAAATAAACTTTCTCCAAATTTATTTGAAATGTGCTATTATTTAGAATGTATATAAATACATTATATTAAAAACGAACAGAATCACACCAAACTTTATTTACCATTAATTCTTGATGCTAACGCCACGGAAGCATTTCTTTCAAATAACTTCATTCCAACTCTCTACTTCTATGATCCAAATAAGGTATTGAACTAAAAAATAAAATTGGCTGTTCCCTAGGTATCCGGATACAATGGAGGACAACTCAACATTAACGTTTAACGTCAGCTCGCTGCTCATGACGAAACACCCATCGAGCGTCACTACAGTGGTGTCAGTAAAAAACTCAAGCGTCGTAAGCAATGCTTACGAGTGGCGTTTCGTTCTGCCACCATACTTCATTATCTTCCTTCTATCGATATCGGGAAACTGCCTCGTCATCACTACATTAGCGAGCAATCGTCGGATGAGGACTGTCACCAACGTCTATCTACTGAATTTGGTGAGTTGGTTTCTCTGAATAAATATTGAAATAAATCGTTTTGAATGTATGTGAACAGTTGTCATGCGAGCATACAGTTCACCTTATGTTAAGTAATTACCGTCACCCGTGGACATCGGCAATATCTGAGGGGCTGTAGATTCATTGTTTGAATTAAGCTTTTAAAATTATTTAATTTGACATTTTTACTCAATTGTAATATAACAGCAATGTAAGTGCAATCTAACGAGGGGGTTCTTTACTTAACAAAAGGTCAAACGTAGAGTTTGTGTTATTGGTTTTTAATGGAACATTTCATATTTTTAGGCCATCTCAGACTTTCTGCTTGGGGTATTTTGCCTTCCTTTCACTTTAGTTGGGCAAATATACAGGAGATTTCTGTTTGGAGCTGTCCTATGTAAATTGATACCTTATTTGCAAGGTGAGCTTAATACGAAAATAACATATTTATACACAGTCTCTGACGAAGTACACCCGTTAAAATCTGATAACGTTAGTACGTATGTGATCATAAACACTACTTGAACGGGTTTACAATCTAATAAGCCGTTACAAATACAGGTTTCCTCATAATCTTTTATTTGTTCCTCGAGCATTTTTAACAAAGGAATTAAAAGTTTGCGCGAACAATGATGAAACCTATGTGATGTTTAATAAGGGGCTAGTATAATTTAGCACTCACCTTATTAAAATATGTTAAGGTGGAAATTAAAAAAAAACAATTATCTTGTTGTGAAACGGAACCAGTATCAGAAGCCAGGAACCCTTTGATAATGATTCAGTTACCTGATAGATATTTATCTTCAATATTACACTAATATGTACTGATAAAAAAGAATTGTTTTCATTCTATTTCCAACGATTAAATTACTATTATGGTTAAAAGATACTAGCTCCGACCGCACAGTCTCGGTACCCACAACGATGAAAACGCTAACTGAATTTTTTGTGCCTGATTTAGAACGTGCTACGCGGTGAAGGAAAATGTCTTGGAAAAACTTAGAACAAAATCCGCAAAATAGTGTCGTTTGTAGTTTTTTTTTTTTTTTTTTTTTTATGCGAAAAGTTGTCAAACGAGCAGACGGTTCACCTGATGTTAAGTGAATACCGCCGCCCATGGACATCTGCCACACCAGAGGGTTACAGATGCGTTGACAACCTTTTGAAAATTGGGCTCCGGCTACCTCACTCAACAGACGAAACGCGAAAGTATTTGTTATACTTCCACTTTACGCTGGTCTTCTGTGAGGTCGTGGTACTTACCCGGACGGGCCTTTCGTGCAACAGCCGAGGCTGCTGCGTGGCCCTACCACCGTTCAAGTAGTAGTAGTTTGCAAAATAAGGTCTTACATGGCATACCGACAACCCGAATGGCGTTGTGGGTAGTGTACCTGCCTCCTGCGCCAGAGGGTGGGTTCGATCCCCACTACTGGAAAAATATTGTGTGATGAACATAGTGTTTTCTAGTGTCTGGGTGTTTATATATGTATACATATATGTATTTATTTACAAAAAAAGTATGTTTAAGTATGTTTATCAGTTTTCTAGTACCCATAGTACGTACAAGCTTTTTAGTTGGGGACTAGAGAATGTTGTGTAAAAATGTGTCCTAAAATATTTATTATTATTTATTATACAGCTCTTACAATGTTTCTTCACTTTAATGATACCTTACTTACTTTGTATTCTTAATTAATTTAGTAATATTGGTTTCCCCGCCCTCGGCATTAATTGATGTAGGTAACTTATTATTCTCATTTTTACGTGGAAACTAGTGTCTAATTATTTTTATAAAGAAATCCTTCATAACAGCTTCGGGAAGAAAACTTTGTGAAAGATGTTACTCTACACTTGGGATGAATACTAAAACAACTTCGTAAATGTCGATAATTTCTCCTTCAAACTTTGGGAAATTTTAACTAAATAAACCAAAATTTATTTATTAGAACTTTAACAATAACCGATTGGCATATAATGAATAGTAAATAATATTGCTTAAGGTAATATTTTAAGAACTACGTTTTAGGAAAACGAAATGAATTTTGAGAATTGATTCTGTACAATAATTATATTCAAAAAGCTGTTTTTAATGTGCCCTAATACAGTTTACAGATAAATCTTCTAAGGATCAAATGCAATACTATTTGATGAATCAACAATATCGTTTATCCGCTTTTAAAATCATTAAACTTTATTTTAATGAAACTGTCACAGAAGTAATTGTTTAATGAATACGTTGGATTTTTAACCGACTTCAAAAAAGAAGGAGGTTTCTCAATTCGACCGTATGTATATTTTTTTTGTGTGTTCACGGATAAGTTCGTCCTTTGTGAACAAATTGCGATGATTCTTTTTTTTTGGAAAGGAGATATCCCAAGGGTGGTATCATGATGATGGAAACCCGGATTTGATGATGGCATCCGATAGAAATCGAGGGCCATCCCCAAATGTTATAGATATTAACAATGTTTTCTGTTAATACCTATAACAGTTGATTATTTTATATGTTCCCTGTTTGGAGTTGTTTTTATTTTGTTAAAAATTATCATATTTTAAGCCGTGTCTGTATCGGTCGATGTATGGACGCTGGTTGCAATTTCGCTGGAGCGGTACTTCGCGATCTGCAGACCACTCAAATCGCGGAAGTGGCAGACCCAGTGCCACGCGTACAAAATGATCGCAATGGTTTGGATGCTGTCCCTGATGTTGAATGCACCAATACTGATTGTTTCTACGTTACAGCCGATGAGGGGAAACGGTGAGAATGCACAGCTAATATTATTACGAACTGTCGAGCCGTCTTCGTTTGTTTGTAGGTTCACAAACAAACGAAGGCGGGTACCTTATGATTGTACGCAGTTAGCTCAACATTCAATCGACACATGAAATCAATAGTCTATAGTCCCGACAAAAACTGTGCGGCACAAATTGTGTAGTTTGTAAGTTAAGTTTATTATATAATACAAAACACACACACACACACATACAAAAATATATAAACTCATTGATGTACCTTTTACCAGGCCGCTTGATGTACGCGGCGGTGAAAACACAAAAAAAAAGAAAAAAGAAAATGCTAATCAAAAAAGAGTACGGACCACGAGTCTGTAGAGGAAGATTGCTAACATAAAAAAGTTTCGTAGTCTCGGATTTTCAAACGTCATCACATCACTGATATGGATTTTATTTAGTTTCCTCATTTATAAAGTAAATTACCGACTTTTAAATTCTGCCTTTTTATATCACTTCTAAATTATTTCATTTTGTTTTTTCTCTATCGGGAACATATTTTGAAAATAGTGTCTTAAGTAAGATCAAGAATATATTTAAAATGTAATAACTTTGTTAAAAAGGTCTTTTAGTCTTAAATTACTTTGAAATTTTATTTGTCTTGATTATTAATAATTTTAGATTTGCAAACGAAAGATAAATCCAGATACCAGCCTGTATTTAATTATATAATGACAGTTATTTTTTTTTTATAAATAGGTAAGCCTTTTTTTGAAGTCACTATTCTATCAGTATTTAAAATTAAGTTATTAAACTGCACAAAAGAGAAAATTATTCATAAACAGAGTGGAAAATATTGCATAATTTTCACCGAGTAAAACACACTCATAACATAGCTTTCATATAATACAGCATACTACGTTCAGTTGAAGTTACTCGTATGTTACATACTCGTATTACTTTCACAAGAACGGTTGTTATTATCATTTGATAAAACGCTTTTCTCCAACGCAACCTTATACAAAGTATGACGATAATGATTGAGTTTAATGGTTTTGAAGGACAAGAGTTAGCATCGACATTTTGTGTACAAAGAGCGCCCCTAAAACGTAGTTTAATTATTTGGCTTTATATTAAGGTTTAATTAATTATTATTCATTTTTTTAAGGGTGATAGTTGGTAAGATTAGGTATATAATATGTTAATCGTACGTAAGATCACTGCGGTTCCGTCTGTTGTTGAGTGCAATATGATTATATGATTTTAGCTTTCAAGTGCAGGGAGGTTTGGACCAGTTTGGAATTGGAGAGGGCATTCAATTTGGGCTTGGATGCCGCTCTATTGCTCGTCCCGTTTTTTATAATGTCGTTTGCATATTGTCTGATCGTCACCAAGCTTTGGAGGGGTATGCGCCACGAGATACAGCACAACTTCAATTGGCAAAAACAGCGTAAGTGAATTGAACTTGTCACCCTAAAATCTTATTTGTTGGAAATCCACGGTCCATTTAATGATGGCTCACGCGTAATAGCATTTCACATGATCGAAACGCGTGGTGCAACCAAGGACTTAAAATGAGAGGATGAGTTAAACTTTGGTTAGTTCAATTGGGTTAGTTTTTAAGCTGGTGCATTGAAACAGGTAACGATCCTAATTATTCTAATTAATATTAGAACAAGGTTTTTTCTTTTTCTGGCTATTTACTTGTAGGGAAGTTAATATACAAAAAATATTGAAATAACTCTACTAATAGTAACTAAAATTAGATACAATTTAATTGAAAAATAAAATCATTAAGTACGCACAATTTGTTTTTTAGTGACTAGAGAGGAATCCTGCAAAAACAATTTACTCCAGCGAACATCTACTCTGAAGGAAAATGAAAGGGACGTTTGCTATAAAGACACCTGGGGTTCAAATAATTTAACTAAGGTAAATTATTTATTTGGTTTTAAATAAACAATGTGTTTGGTGTTAAATTTACATCCCTCTTTTTATTGTTACAAATTATACGGACCTAATTATTGAACATTTATATACTACTAGCAGAACGAACATGAACAAAAAGTGGAGAAGAAGGAACAAGCATACTGCATGCATACCGACATAGAATTTCATCACGTAGTACGTTCAACTCACATCGACAAGAGTATTGAAGCAAAACGCAAGGTAAGAGTGGAAGATTTCTTTAAAGAATATGTTTTTGCAACAAACTAAAAGATGAACTATCACTCTGAACTATCTATAATATTCCATAATACTTATTACCTAAAAATTATCATCAGGATTTAGTGGACGTGAAGTTTCCAGTGGTTCCATGTGATAGCTTCAATTTAAGAGTTTGTGTTGCATTTTAATTGTATAAACTCCACTGAGGTTGATTTATAAAGAATAATAATGTAGAATAATAGAATATTACAACCAAATGTTTATATAAATGTGAATTTTTGTTGCAGGTGATTAGAATGCTATTTGTTATTATACTGGAATTCTTTGTTTGCTGGACACCTTTGCACGTAATAAACACTGTAAGTAATCAATGTTCAAAATTCGAAAACTTTCGGATAAATATTTTTATGTACGTAATCTGATCCTTTGCTTGTAACGTGTCTCTGATAATTGTCATTTCTTAAAATAAAACGAATTAAGTTTTGGCACGGTCACACATTTGTAAAAAAAAATTGTTAAGAGAAGTTGAATGATTTGTTTATTTATATAATTATGATTTAAGGCCATTATCAAAACAACTTGCACTGTTTTCATTTATATTTGACCAATACATTTTTCAATGGGATATGTGAAATAAAACTGCCAATTGATTGTTTCAGATATATCTATTTTACCCGGATGAGTTGTACCAATATATTGGATCAAAAGGGATAGTGTCCCTTCAGCTGCTCGCTTACTGCTCGTCGTGTTGTAATCCTATTACTTATTGCTTCATGAACAGGAAATTCAGACAAGCGTTCGTTAATCTGCTGAAGTCGTGCAAACTGTTCAAGTGAGCTTTATTGTGGTCATTTCAGTGAATCACTAGGTATTGAATTATTAGTGTTCAAAATAAAGGGGTCAAATTTTATGACATAACTTCTATGCAGACAGTTAAAGAAAAAAAAACACATTCCATCCCTTATTGCATTTCACCTGTATTAAGAATGTTTGAACTGTGGAAATTTTTCCCAAGATAAAAGTTTTTTTCATAAATGTTTTTCTTCGTCGCAATGTAAATTAATTAAACCTAAAAGTTACGCCTTGACATGTTAAAGTCTCTTACGTTTATCTATTTGTAAATAAATTATTCCTGTTACACTTACGACCAATCTACAGACGTCAAATACAATTACACCCGTATTCAAGAACAATACTTAGGTAAGCAACACTGTTCTAAGTAAGGCATTCCTGCGTGAACTGCGTTCGTAATGGCAGGCCGTGTCATTCACAAAAAACACTCGGCGACACTTTACGATGTGTACGCACTGCGCCGATTACAGATCTGTGATTGGTCCGTTTAGCAAAACAGACATAACAGAACCTGACATTTGTAAAAGCTCTCTACCTACTTTACGTAAGGGTCGTACATAATAAACGCATAGCGTTGCACATTACCTAAGTATCTTTTAAGAATTGGTTTAGCGGCCCTATGCGTTCGTGCGCACTGTGAGAACTCATTGTATTGTTCTTTTTTATGTTAAAAAGTGGCAAACGAGCTGGCGGTTCACCTGATGTTAAGTGATAACCGCCGCCCATGGACATTTGCAACACCCGTAGGGTTTCAGATGCGTTGCCACATGTAAATAAAGTGGGCCCCGGCTAACTCACTCACCAGACGAAACATTTCTACTTTACGCCGCTCTTCTGTGAGGTCGTGGTACTTACCCGGACGGACCTGCCCATTCGTGCAACAGTGAACACTGCTGCCACGCAACTACCACAGATCTTGGATACGGCTGTTAAATTATTTCATTTGCGAAGTTCTTTCTCATGGACCGATGGAAGGTAACCAACGATGGGCGTTAAATAACTCCAAAGGATTTCAGGTGCTGTTTTCCGGAGAAGATGGAGTCCGGGAAACAGGCTACCCCGCCGCAGTCTAGCCAGGATGCTACTGCATGTGTGATAAGGGGCAGCCACACTGGGCGCACAGGTTAGACTACTCCAATCAAATCAAAATAAGTATATGACTGCTTCTAATGACTGTATTTTAATAACAACAACAAATATTTGTCACTTCTTGTGATATTTATTTAATTAATTGTATTATTTGCATACCCCGTATGTAGAATTTTTTTGCCACATTTAATCTCTCGAAAAAACAACAAAACAAGTGTCGAGTGTGTAGTTGATAGGATGTGAAAGTAAATTTTATTTTTTTCGAATACTTTTACAAGTGACTTAATTAAAATTATTACATGTCCACGCATTTTATCATTATCAGGGGCCCTTATAAGGCAAACTGTTTTACGCGTGTAAGAAAGTAAAGAACCGAAACAAAGCCCTCGATTTGTTTCGTTTCTTTACTTTTAACGTACCATCCAACGTGATTTCACCGCCGTTTAATACTGCTTTGCGTTGTTTAACGATGGCGCGTTGAGACCGTTGTCCTTTCCGTTGTAGTACCTTTACCGCAAACGTTTCCCGGTTCATTCCCGTTGTAGAGCTGGACGGACTGGAGGGGGAGGAGTGTGTTTAGCGTCGGCTCGCAAAGCACTGCACTGGGAAGCGGTGCCCACCCGGCGCTGCCCGCGCCCGCCGTCACGCGGCCCGTCACTCAAGTAACCTCTGATTTTCAGCGTTTTTTTTTAAAAAATAAATAAGGATAAGTGGCGTTCGATCAAGCAGGCCACCCGATTGTGAGTGCTCACCGCCGCCCATACACTCGCAACACCAGATGGGTCGCAAATGCATTTGTCAACTAGCAAGCGCACTTTCAACCCTACCGTTGTTGGACAAGGCCCGTAAGTGTTTTTTTTTTAATGCGAAAAGTTGTCAAACGAGCAGACGGTTCACCTGGTGTTAAGCGAATACCGCCGCCCATGGACATCTGCCACACCCGAGGGTTACAGATGCGTTGACAACCTTTTGAAAATTGGGCTCCGGCCACCTCACTCACCAGACGAAACACGAAAGTATTTGTCATACTTCCACTTTAAGCTGGTCTTCTGTGAGATCGTGGTACTTACCCGGATGGGCCTGCCCATTCGTGCAACAGCTGAGGCTGCTGCGTGGCCCTACCACCGTACGTGGCCCTACCACCGTGTTGTCAGACTTTAAAGGCTGAGACGTGACAGTTTATTCTCAGACAGCGGGCACGGAAGGTGTACTTTGAACATGAAATTTTTCAAGTAAAGGAACATTTATTGTTGCACGCTATAGAAATGGCATGCGACTTCAGACTGATTGAAAGCACCGAAATTGTGCTCTGTCTTAGTTAAGAACCCTCACTGCCGCAGAGCGTATGCTATTTTTTTATTTGTTCATAGTCTACTATATATTAAGTATCGCTCTAATAGGTTGAACATTGAACCGAGCAAAACCCGTGGATTCGAACTTCAATGACATATTCAATTTGTAAAATGTTAATAAACAATTGTTTATTTGTGATCTATAGCTTAGGCGAAATTAATAAAAATGTTAAACTGAGAGGGCTGTACTATGTGACAATTTTAATTTATACCGTAATAATAGGTATATGACTTACCAAAAATATCACCGTTTTGTGATAACTCATGTGGTACTCGTATAGTGATATTAATTTAGCGGCACATCCTAACTTTTAAGTAATACTAGTTTGACATTAAGTGCTTTTAAAGTCCATGTCAGTAAGAGTATTGTTCAAAACGAAAAGTTTTGAAATTCCTGAACCCATTTGTCCTGAGCACTTTTTTATTGCATTTAATGTAAATTAAATTCCCGTTATGGTGCGTATTCACAAATACGCTATGAAAGTATTCGAAACGTGGAGAATTTAAAACAATGTTACGTATAATTAAATAAATATTTTTAGGACATATTCTTACACAACGTTCTCTAGTCCCAAACTAAGCAACGCTTGTACAATGGGTATTAGATAACAGATAAACATACTTAAACATACTTTTCTTTTGTAAATAAATACATATTATACATACATAAGCACCCAGACACTAGAAAAACACTATGTTCATTACATATTTTTCCAATAGTGGGGATCGAACCCACACCCTCTGGCGCAGGAGGCAGGTACACTACCCACTACGCCACTTGGGTCGTCAATTATTTTCTTTCATTAAGTTCATGTTTATTCAATCAACTGGCCGTTGGCAGGTAATAGAGACAGGGGAAGAAGGCAGCCAGTTCCTTTACCGAATCACTTGGCCAAGAACCGGCCAGACAAAGGGAAATACGCCAAGACATCCACTCTATGAATGAGCGTGGCCTGAAACTCTTGTATCACAATAATTAAGTGGTGCGAGTGTTTTGTGAAAATCTTGAAACGTAGTGTATTGGAAAGCGAATTCTGACAGGTTTTTGGTGCGATGAAAACGAATTAAGGAAGTTTTGTGTAAAACATATTAATTGTTATAATTTAAACATGTCATTTCTCATAAAAGGAAAAAGCATAAAATATTTTTATGAAATAAGTTGTACAGAAGTAACAAATTTTACCATTCAGCTTTATTATTATGAATTATCTGTATAAGATTGTATTGTTTGTATTGAATAAGATAGTATTGTTTAAGATTTAAAACACAATTAACTGGATTTGATGGGATTACTACTGATTCATAGCTTTTCTATGAATATTTGTACGAGGATATTTATATATGTACCTTGCACACATAAAGAATAATTACCTAACTAAAGAAAGTAGTTTTCCTTTCTATAGTTAAATGTTTTTACTTTAATTGCTCGGAGAAATGAATGCTAACAGTTGTACAGTACTTATCTGAGTGTTAATCATTCCATTTACTTTTACTCACTTTACTGGTAGTAATAATGACATTGATATCTTCTAATGTTATCATAAGCCAGTTTCTGATGCAGGTCATTTTATGAAGCGAAATTAAAATGCAACAATAAGTTTGATAAGGTGATGTCTACGCTATCTGACTCGTAGCACGTAACGAAATGTGCTACATTTCTGTTTTTCGCGTACGGCCAAATGGTGTTGTTATCCGGATCGCTACGCGTTGTGATGCATGATAAAATTTACATGTGTTGTATGTGTTTATATTAGAATGTAAATATGTAGTTTCCCCTGCCTTGTCCTCGTTTCTGAAAGTATTGAAACAACCACTTTTATTTATGTACCTTTTAATTAATGAATTTCTCCGTATTATGATGCATGAGATAATATAATGTAACAAATCTACTCTTTGTCATTATCACTGATGCAATTTTATATATGAATAAATGATAAATGTCAGACTATAAATAGATTAGACTTAGCACTGTTCATGTTTTTGGTGTGATTTATTGTACTCAGTGCTATTAGTGTTGATAGCAACAGCGTCTTATGCGTTTTTTGTATTACGGCTATGTTCTTAAAGAACTACATCATCATTCTTTGTTATGCCACCCAAATATTGACAATGCATAATGATTGTATGAATTTATGGAAAAATCCTCAAAATAGGTATAAGTAATAGGTCATAATTGTAAATAACATAAGACGAGGGCACGTTGGGATTGAAATGCGAACTCGCAAAAATCCCTTATAAAAATTAAAAAAAAGTATTGTACCTGACAATGTTGTACTGAAAGTGATATTTAAGTATTATTTGGATCTGTTTTTCAAATAAGATATGCCAAATATTTTGCCGGCCCTACTCTTTGGAATCTTCAAATTTTTTTATTTATATTCGAAAACAATTTTAACTATAACTATTAATTCGATGTCTGTATTGTCGGTACTTTGAAGCTCAACTTATATGATAAGTAATAATATAATGTTTAATGTAATAGATAAAAGTATACGAAGAAAAATGAGGATTATTTTATAGAAAACATATTTATAGAATATTCATAAAATCTAGCAATTCATAATTTCGTACCATTTAACATGTTTAAACAATATCTTTATTATATATTATTTGAAATATTTTTAACCAAATAACCAAATTTAACTATAAAAATAATCAAAATACATTAAAAAGAAAATCATATTTTATGTTTTTGTCTTTATACCATGTTTTAAGTCAAATAACTGTCGAAATTTACTATGTTTACAACAAATATTTCTATTTTATATGATACCTTATTGGCCAACTGAATGGTGCTGTTTCAAGTTTTACTATGATTTGTTTTAGCCAAATTAATTGTTACTTCCATCGACTTCTTAAGAGGGTAATAATATTATATAATTGTACTTGATAAGCATTTGTAAACATTTGTTGTGTAGGATGTAAATAATGTAGTTTATCGTTAAACACAATTGTAAACCAGACAATGAAAATAAAATTAATGTTTCAAAAAACCTTATCTTATCTTTCATTATTATTTTTATGAATTAACAAATCCCGTTGTGTCAGTAATTGTTTAGTTGTTGTTGGAGTTAAAATAAAAAAATAATTGTTATGTCAATAAAAATATCTTTTAATAATATTTTTTTTAAATAATAGAATCTTTAGTTAAAAATGTTTCACAGTTATAAAAACTCTATAAAATGAAACATAAGTTTTAGTAAAAATTAACGACATAATTTCTAGCCAATAATTGCCATTAACAATAAGATTCTCGTGTTGTGTCCACGGAGATTATAAACTATATACGGTAGATTTATAACAATTTAGAAAATAATTTATAAATCGCATCTGATTCTATTCTGTACTGTACTCTACTTCGGTATTTAGCTTAAGTTCATAACAGTAATTTTGAGCCATGCAAAAGAGTAAATGCTTTTCTTAATACTTGGGAAAATGCATAAATACGCTTCCATAAATCAAGAATATAATATAGTTTATAAACTTATTTCTAGCCACCTAGATATCTAAAAAGGAATAGGATGCACACTTATATACTGCATTACTGGCTCGTGTTTAATAGAACTTTTGAAGTCGTAGTTCAACTAGCCTAGTGCTATGCACACTTCGCATATGAAGTTCTCATTCGTATTGTGAAATTTCTAGAGTGAATACAGCTCAAGAGACTATCCGTAAGAAACTTTCTCTAAGCCACAACTTACAAAGAAGCTAGCTGGTCGACTTGCAACTGATGAGGAGTTGACACTAAACAGTTTTATTATTATATGAGAAAAAAGAATTCCAATTATTAGTTCAATAGCTATACGTGAAACCAACAGAGTAAGAGTACTCTGTCATTTTGATAAGTACATCATTTAACTGTAGTAGGGCCACGCAACAGCTTTGGATGTTGCACCAATCGGCAGGTCCGTCCAGGTAGTACCACAACCTCACAGAAGCTGGCGTGAAGCGGATTAGTGAGGTAGCCGTACTTTAAAAGGTGGTAACGCATCTGCAACCATACGGGTGTTGCAATTATCGATGCGCGGTGGTTATCACTTAAAATCACGTGAAAACCAAGGTCGCTCGCCACATTCTCACATAAAAAACATAGTTAACAAAATTGATTTATAAACGCACAACAAGAAACAAAGTTGTAACGCCACGTAGCAGCTTTTTCAGTTGCTGCATTAATGGGCAGGCTCGTTTGTGGAAATTTCACGATTACACAAAAGTTCAGTGATAG